CACTGCTAAATTAGGGACGGCTAGCGCAGATAGCCCTCGTGTAGCTTTGCGCGAAATTCAAAAACAAACAAACAGTAATGTGAAAACCAACCTGGCATTTCGGACAGATATACTTAGCACAGTTGCCACAATGGCACTGTGTCAGGTTTAGTGCAGGCCAGTACTTTTTTCATCTGTACGGACTAGTTGCAGTACTTGATTTCCCCTTGTGGGACAAACAGGTTTATGCTTTGGAATCAGAGAAAAAGCCAAAAGTGAAAGAACAATTCCTTCAGTAAAATCCAGCAGATGTATGCTGTCTACATTCCTATGCAGCAGACAGAAATTTACAACAGCACCATTCAGACTAAAATGCACTTTACATGGTGCCTTGCATGATTTTGATCAAAGAGGTAAACTCTACCCATTCCCTTATTGTACTTTGTAATAATGAAAAGCTGGATCACACCCACCTTGTCTTTTGATGCTGCACTGTAATTCTTGCAAGTTGTTTTGGCAAGTAACGAATTATCAGTTAATATGGTTATTCCAACAGCTTTATCTTTCAGAACAACCCCTTTTACCTTTCTTCAGTGGAATAATCTTCAGACAATCAGATCATATAATTCCAGTAATTTTGATGCTGTGAGACTACTGTTGTTGTAGTAGGGGCAGTGATGTAAAGTAATTGTCAGTAAATGCCTAGCTATATGGTCATATAAAGCTAACAACCATTTTTTGGATAACTAAGCTTCCAAGAGTGACACTTTTTTTTCGCTGCTCTTTATCTTCATGCACTAACTTCCTGGAGTACATACAGAGACATCAGAACTTAAATCCAAACTTTATTGGCTTTCTTCTAATAAATTGTTTCAAAGAGTGGTAACCAATATAAGGTTCTATATCCTCATCGAAGTTCTAAGTGTTTGGGATGGGATAACAGAAGAACTGGAACTTGTTATTGAAATGCTCTAAAAAAGGTTGTATCTTGTACACTCTATCATTGAGAACAAAACGTAGACGTTATTGTAAGATTCTCAAAAATCTATCTCTGGAAACATCATTAACTATTTTAGAAACTTTGATAATGTTTACATTAGACTCACTTACCCAGTATAATGTTTTGTCTGACAAGTAGTTTTAAAATGCCTTCCTTTGACCAACACAAATGTTTTTACTGCTGGGTTGAAGTAGTTTTACACAGCCTTACATAACGCTACCACCCCTTCCTTCGATCACTACACACGGTTCTACTGTTGAGTTAAGAAGCCTTTACATAATGCTACCATCCTTTCCCTCGTCCACTACATATGGTTTTACTGCCAGTAGTAGTAGTAGTAGTTGTTACATGATCTTATGTAACACTGCTATCCCTTCTCCTGATCATGACACACACTTAATAGTTATCAATTAATATTCTCTATAAAAAATGTAAAATAATACAGAATCGTACTGTGATATGATAAAATAGGAAAACAATCTATTTACATTTGGACACCTATAACTAATATTACCATATGATATGTTTGTCAGTCAAAATACTTCCAATCCCCCCAGTGGCTCAGCAGTAAACCTCTAGACTTATAACGTTACAAATCGGATTTCGCTACCCACAGTGAACACATCATAGATGACCTATTTTGTAGCTTTGTGCTTAACAGAAAAAAAAACAGTCCAAATTAACACTTACATATTTATAATTATCATAAAAATCCTGACTATATAACCAAGAGAGAATGGTGACAAGATCATTTCCAAAAATCAAATATTAACGCTGCAGTTTACATATAGATCAGTATTAGGCATTATAAATGATTAATGAAAGGTACCTTCAACTCAGCAGTAAAAATCCAATTATGTAACTTGGAGGAGTATTAGTGATAGGTGTAAAATACACAAACAGGTATCAACATCATTAGATCTTATAGTGATGTTGTCAATGGTGCAGATGCAAATTATATGAATTTAGAATACAAAAGAAAATGAATGAAAAATGGGTATAATTATTAATTATCTGCCTACGAGAACATGGGAGGACAATACAACACAAAACGTGACGTCAAAATAAAACTATAATTAATGCAGTCTTGAATTTGATATGTGTGCGTTTTTCTTATCTAAAATATGATTTTTAAGTTGTTTAAAATTTAGTTAAGTAAGCTTAAAGATACAGAACCACTCCCGTAACATTGAGTAATGTTCAAGGTAGCCCCCAATCCTCCTCCCATCAGTCCCACGCGTTATCCCTGATGATCCCTGGTATTGTGATAAAGCTTGTTTGTTTGTTTGGAATTAAGCACAAAGCTACACAATGGGCTATCTGTACTTTGCCCACCACGGGTATCGAAACCCGGTTTCTAGCGTTGTAAGTCCGCAGACATGCCGCTGTGCCACTGGGGGGGGGGGGCTGTGTTAAAGCCTTGTCAGTACTGGATATGGCAGATGTTGCGTGATTAATAACATATATTTTCCTTTGCTTTCACTCATGGTTCTGAGAATTATATTTTAACGTCCCTTTAAAACAAAACTGTGAAATAAGCAGTGTGCATAAACACGTTTATAGTAGTAAAATCTACTGATAGATTTTCTTAACGAAAAAGTTTTAATGATGTTATTTATGAAAGCCACAGAAAATTTTCTATGTGATCATTAAATTAATGGCTTTAAGTTTAAGGTCGATACAGTATTTACTCAACCTCTGTATTTATTATTAATGTAATTTATCTTCATTGTTATTTTCTTTATTAAGGAATAGTCTCACTACTTACTCCGTTAATGTTGTTTGAATTCATGATATTGCTACATTAGAAACTACCACACAAAGATTATCGGCCGACTTGAATTATTAATTCTTTATAGGTTGAAAAATACCCACATCTAAATGCAACCTTTTTTGCGACTTTGCCGGCATACTTCTTTTGTCAGAAGTTAGGTTGGGAAAGAAAAAGTCTAATATATTATACCTCATCAATGACTCACTTCTAACTTCTCTATAAGTATAACACGGTGTTTATTGCTCGACGAACGTCCCCTGATGAGACAGCGATAAGTCTACAGACTTGCAACGCTAAATTTCAGGGTTCGATTCCACGTGGTAAACACAGCAGGTAGTCCAATGTAGCTTTGCTATGACACATGTGCATAGCTCGACGAAAAGCTGTGCCCAAAACGTCGCAAATAAGTAAAAAAGAAATAAATTCATTTAGGTGGGTGTGTTAATCTATTTATTTATTTATCTGAATTGTTTCATACCACGTCTTGTGGAAAATACTAACTAGCGAGATTCTATTAATACTCCATAACATCACAATTAATGTTTAAAACAATACCAGCCTTACTTACGCATATTTTATTTTATGTTATATTAAAACTTACTATAACAAAATACTACAACTTCATTAGCAGATGTAGAAACAATGTTTGTCAAAGGTTTGTGTATTTAATTCTACAATACATTTGCCATCTTACTCATCTAAAATATGTTTCCATTTAAATTGATAATTTAAAGTTCATTATTTAAATTTATCCGACAATAACTTCTACTAATCACATTAATACATATTTTAAATTATAAATTTCACTTAATGTCAAACCTAGTATCAACATACACCCTATACAAAACTACTTATGATTGTGCTAAATCCGTCCAAGTTACATTATTTTTATCATATCAACACTAATCTACTTTGAAGATTTAATAGGTCATTTCTTCGTGGCTGGGTTAACAACAAGCTGCCAGAGACTTCTTTTTATTGGTTGGTCATGCAATTTTACTAACTGTTCTGCACCAAAAACAGTCCTGCAAACAATAAGCCATTATTACTATTTCTTCTTAACACATACACATTTGTGAAAATACACAAGTGTGAAAAAGTGAAGGAAGTGTTACAAAAACAAGTTAGACAAAAGTACTAAAATAAGACAACTTCAGGAATCACTGAAACAATAATAAAATCTAATAATTACATGGGATTACAAGGAAAATCAAGGTATTATAAGGAAGAAAACCAAAGATTAGTGTACAAAAACAAGGCTAAATTATCTTAAATACAACCAAACAAGCATTATGAGGATTGGGTCCAAAGTATTACAAGTTGTACAGGAATAAAGCAAAACATTATCAAAAAACCCCCTAACTTTTACAATTAAAGAGAAACAAAGTTTTAAGTCAAATGAAAAAAATGTTACTAGTATGAAACCAAAGTGTTATAAGTAGATAAAAATATTCTTTGAATGTAAATTATGTAATTAAGTTATTATAAAAACATTTACAACAAACGTTTGGTATGTGAAAATTATTTATAATTAGTTTATCAAATATTTTTATAAGTTACAGTTTCTAGAGTAGTTCTTGAGGTGCGATTATTTTCAAGTAGACAGGTTTTAATGATAAAGAACATTTTAGCATCAAAATCAATAATATAACGATGAGTAAAAAATGTTTTCAAATTACTGATTTGATGGTGATTATTTATGCATGTGCATATCAATTTACATGAAATGATGGTTTATTTATTTATTATGTACAGTAAAATATTTTCACTTCAACCAATACCTACATCTTCTTGGAATCTTCAAGAGCAAGATACTTGTTGGAAAAAACATGATTGAAAATTATGTCTGTCTGAACCTGCAAGATTTTGAAACAGGCATGATTTTAGTTTGATAATGCTATGAAATAGGTACATTTTTACCTGTTATTTGTTATAAATTTATTTTATTTGATATAACATTGCATAAAATTTTGGATAATATCAATGAGGATTTCACACATATATGTACATTCACTTATAACACTGGTTAGTGTACATGATTAGAAGGAACATGTCCTAATTTATAATATATACATTAAAAAAATTCGAAACATCATTAATTCCTGTGGCACACCAGTTAAATTGTTTTACAGGGGTGAAAGTTTACATTTTTCTTAAATCGAAAATATATTTCCAATAATACCTCCTCTCACATTACAGCTATTAATAGACTGCCAGGGTTTCTTTCTTTTGCCCATCTAAGTATTGGTCTGAATTTTTCTTGCTTACTCCAGTGTTTTATTCCCTGCTTAATTGACCTTGGCGATATCTGTCACGTGACTCTCCACCTAAGTCAATGTGCCCTCTATCCTGGTACTGTATATAAACACCTCATTCAAATAATATTATCAGTTTTTCGAGACTGACCCATTCCACAGTTTCTAACACCAGCTCTTAGTGGGGAGGAAGGGCAGGAGAGTGTGAGAAGAGGTAAGTATTATTGGAAATACATTTTCGATTTAAGAAAATGTTAAATTCCAAAACATCTCACACCACAGCTATAATTCCACATTGATAAGGTGGCAGGGTTGGTGAGGGCATTATCCATACAGAAAGTGTCTGCATAGATCATGGGTGTGCCAGTAAAAGATTAGCACCCTAGTGGGGGAACTGCATTACATCCAGAACAGGTATGCTCTTCACTTGGAACTTAATTCATTTACTGTAGGTGGAATTTTACATGATCTGTCATCCCTATTGACCAGGCCCCAACCAGATAGCCAAGGTTCCACTGCTTGGGGTTGGAATTAAAGGGCCTATATCCCACGTTGGTGGCTAAGGCAGTTGGACCACAATATATATATATATATATATATACCCTTATGAGTGGATCCTAGCCTGTAGCCATAGAGTGATGCATTCTGAGCCACTGGAATCACAATGAGAAGGTAAGCAACACTGAAGTGGACAAACCTTCTCCTCAACCTGAAGAAGTCCGAAAGACAACACCCTAAACTTGGAATGACAGGATCCTGTATACCATACTCAACCCAAAGAAACAGAACTCATCTCTTCTGGAATTATGAACACACATCTTCACTCCACATCAGAGTGGGCAAGGTAAATTCCTCTCATCTCCATAATTATGGAGAGGATGTGGAACAAACTATGCTCAACAAAGGACCTGGGATGGGAACACTCTGTGTTCAAATTATGAAGAGACAATGGATCCTCTTACATGAACAATGTATTGAACAAATACTGATCAAAAAGAAGGGCCACACTCAACCCAACTAGATAGCCGAGCATCAAATCTGAACCAGTATTATGAGTAGGCTCCCATGTAGGCTAGTGCCTCTTCTACCAACACCTATAAAAAAAAACAAAAACATCTAGGGTCCTGGATAGGAGGGCCCCCAACATCACCCTCTTCTCAAAGAGTTGAGGAATTCACTCAAACACTCTGGAGGAATAACCTCTGTCAACCACCCCAGTGACTGGAAACTGGGTGTGATAAGGATTTCCTAGCTCCACTAGTAGAATTTGGGGGGAAATGGGCATTGGCGAGTCCTGAGGAACAGTGCTCTGGAAACAGTGCAATACCTAAACCAAGTTCCCTAAATTTTTAAAAGCAAACTGACCCCGATTAATTCAATAAAATGTTCAGGATCCCCTTATGCTGTTTTATTTATGACAATCCATGATTGGCAGTCCAACATAGTACAGTAATACCACTTAGTCAGCCTCTAGGTGGTCTTATGGAACACCTCATTTCTACAGAGCCTGTTGCAATCTGGATAAAGTATATTGAATTAGTGGTTGCTATAGTGCAAAATTGGTTTGAGAAATGCACACCTACCTGGGCAACACCTGCCACAGAGTGGGATCCTGTGAAAACAAGGTAAGGGATCCTGGAAGGTAAAAAAAGAGAGAAAAGTAGCAATGAAAATACTCACCCCTCTATATAATCTAGCACATGTGGTTAAGATAGCTACAGGGGGTAGTCGAAAACCCTCGGAGGAAGATGTTGCCAGATGATGCAAATAATGTGGGATAAAAGTATTGGGGGACGTCCACATACCAGCCCACACGAAGTGAGAAACAGTGATCAGATGAATCGGAGAAAAGGATTTATCCCCCTTTCCTGGCTGTCAGTGTCTTAGGGAAGAAGAACCAGTCTGAGAACGTAGGTAGAATGATAAAGCATCTAGTGCACAATCAGCACAAACCACTCTGACTGGCGATGTCTGTAGATCAGCGGCAACGAAAATTAAACCTTCAGGGAAAGGTGATACCTTTTACATGAGGCTAAGATCTCAAATGGACATTGAGAAAGGGTATATAATGCCACCTTAATATACCAGTTAGGTAACTGAAAAGGTCATTTGGGACAAAGGATCCAAAATGACGTGAGAAAACTGGAGACTACTGGGGACTCAAAGAATTTTCGTCAATAAGGCCACCTTATACAGGGAGTTTGTGGAAGATGCAAAACCTAATGATGCCAAAGACAACAGGGATGTGCATGCTAACAATGGTCCGAACTCATCATTAATGGACATGGTGCTCCTAAGAAGCTTCCAACAAAGTTTAGAGGGATAATAATTACCCAGCACCATATATATATGGTGAGATGAATCCTAGAAAGTTGTGATATACTCAGGTTAAATACAGATGCTGTTCTATAACCCTAAATTTCCAGGAGCTAATGTATTCTTTGAGAGTTGGAATATGCTTCCACCTGGTGACAGTAAACTTAATAACATAGTCCATTAGTAATACATCAGTTGCTGGGAGAGGTGAAACAAATGTCTTTAGTAACTGAACAGTTTAACTGAAGATGTGAGAGGTAAATGTTTGAGAGAACATTTACTGTAAAAAATGGAAAGTGATATATATATATATATATATATATATACTACAACAATAATAGAAATTTTACTAAGTAACAACATTTAAGGTAAATAAGAAATAAAAAGTTAAAGACACTTAAACGTTAAAAACGTAACGTAACTTAACTAAATA